ATTTCATAAAGATTTTCCTTGGCCACGTCCAACCCAAGGATTTCAAATCCAGCCTTCACATACCCCCAGGTTTCAAGTGCGTACACGCCAAAGTTTAAATTGGCATCGTGCCAACTCCAGATTTAAGCTGCATAAGAAATCTTGCACTGCCTTAAAGTAACTTAAGCTTTTCGCTGACTGCTGTGCCCGTGAAAGTAACTTGAGCTTTCCAGCCCCTCTGCACCTCACTTGCGGACACGTGAAGCTTGACGTAGACAATTTTGTAACTTCAGAACTGAAACAGCTAGAGAGCTGAAACTTTCTGATCGTGACCAACAGCAACACTTGGCCAGATGGACGTGAAAACAACGTTCACGTGATCGTGTTTGGGCAGGCACGTGAAAACAGTATTCATGTGGCTTTCATATACGAACACATGAAATTTAAACGTAACTCCGCAGCCGAAGCAACTAGAGTGTAATTTTTTGAGCACAGAGCGGGAATCACTGCAATAATTTATGACATTCGTGGTGGCTAGTCTAAATTCCTTTAGCAGCCTAAAAAACAATGCGTTTAGCGGCAAAAATCTGTGGTGAAACTATGCAAAAGACGCATCTTCGCACCGGCAGTCAGTGTACCAACCAATTATTGTTGATTCTTGCAGAGTAGTAGCACTGCACCGCAAAAACGCATGAGAATTGCCACGTTGTGCTGCAGGTTTCTGGAAATGGTATCGACGAAATAACGACACTTATCCATTCGTGATGTCCCATCCAGGTTGTACGTCGAGCACTACATCATTGTGGGATTGCGAAGGATTTCTGAATGAGAATGTGATACAGCTAAGTGAAAATCTGTGCCAAGGTGAGGACGACATTGGGATTCGTTGCTGGGGACCCCCTTCATTTCCCGGTTGGCAAAAACACTGGAAAGGTATGTTTTATGCAAATTCACTTAGTTTCATTTCAGCTGTCAGCGACATGCAAGACTACTTTTGTCTAGTAATGCTATTTACTGGCTAGGATTATCTAAGAGGACGACAGGTGGGACGGTTCAGTAAGTATGATCTTAATTAAATTTAGAAAGGAATGAAATATTGCTTGATTGGCCCGTGTAAAAATTCTCTGGCTATTAATCCATTGCTTATCCGTACTATTGAGCGACGCTTTCTCTGATCCGTATCTACACGTTTGTGCAAGTGCAGTTTTTAGAATCCAGTTTTATCTTCTATCCAACAAATCAGTGAAGAAACTGAGCACTTCTTGCATCACTCCTCCATTTTCTCTAAGAGTTCCTGCGTTGCTTCAGCGATCTTCGAATAGTTATATTCGCGCTAGGTGCACTGAGCTTATTTTGTATTCTGATTGGCTCTTGGTGGGGCGCTTCTGTTTGCCGATACTCTTCGCTGTGGCTTAGCTTCTCCTCGATTTTCTTAAACTTCTTTTGCTGACTTGTGCGCAGCATCTTATTATCAGGGTAGGGTCATCCTTGTCTTCTCAGACAGCTCAATATTCCCCGCAACACGCGGTGACTTGCTTCTTATGCTGAAGGAATACACTAC